TACAAGACTTCAGTAAACTATGATCGTAAGGGAGATGGGAGGCCATACCTCTCAGGTGGGACCTCAGCCCCACAGCCCCCAGTATAGACACATAGATGTATTTGTATTCATATACTCTGAGATAGCTGCATACCTCTTTTCATCACGGCATTCTGTGCATTGAATCAGTGCTGGCAGACATGTTTTAGCCACTGGCACTTGTGTAAAGTGAAGTAGGGAAAATATTCAGTGGTCTTAATAATATATATATATGACTAAATATTGGTGAGTAATGGGAAAGATACAGTTTACTTATTATGGAATTGTTTCTAGGAAATTGGGTCAGAGTATGCATGTAAAGGAAGCGTCACTGTAAATACAGCCCACTTTTCCAAAGAGAGTATGTGCCTGTGCTGTAGTGGTCCCATACTATATTCTCTGAAAGACACTGAAAAGGTGAATTATTTCCATTACAGACATACAGAGGCATTGCTATAAAGGTTGGAGTTAATATTGCTTCATTCTCCCCTGTATTTCCTGGTTTCTCAGTGGTTTGAATTATGCTGAGCTCAACTTTCAGGAAGCAAGTGAGCAATCTTAACCATATGTTAGCAAATCTTTTCAGCAAAGTAATGTTTTCAATAGGGACTTCTTTTCTGTAGATCTTAGAAGGTCCTTAAGTGCTTGTAGTTACTACTGCAACAACAGCACTACGGAAATGAGGTAAAGGGAGCCCTGTGACTCTGAAGCCCTGTGTTGTCCATTGTTTCGTGGAAGGGGGTTGTCACCCCTCACTGAAGCATCTGGAAGATGAAGTTATCAAGAGTGAGATGAGAGAATCCTCAGAAATTATGGTTCTATGTAGATTACAGAACTGCCTGAGAACAAAACGATGGCTCTGTGCTCTTCTCCCTCCTCTTCACTCCCCATCAGGAGATGCATAACCCTGCCTGAGAAAATTTCAAGCACGCTCTTCTCTTCCAGCCCTGTGAAGCCATTAGTTTTTTAGAAGCTATTAGCACTTAAGGAGTTTCTCATGCTTCACAGCAAGCTGCTTACAGCCCATCCTCCCCTGCATATGCTAGATTCCCCAAGTCTGGATTTCTATCCTCAGGTCTGGTTTTGAACCCCTTCCAGCGTTCCCCACATCCCAGATTACAGGACAAGGTACTGAAGAGGACAGCCAAACAAGGACTTATCCTTTTCCTCCTAGTGGAGGGTGGGTTCAGGTCCTACAGCAGGAGTGAGCCTGGGGGGTGGTGGTGCTGCAGGGTTCCCCACATTCACTTCTGTTCTCTGCTGTCCACCTGCATTTCCCAGTATCCCATCCATCACCATTCCTTCCCTCCACATAACACTAGACTTTTACTTCACCAGGAAGCTGATTACCGACATGGGTTTAAAAATGGCTCCATTTCCCTGAGTGGAATGTCCTCATATCAAGAAAGAAGTTTCTTTCAGCATTTGGCTTTACAAATGACCAAAGATTAACTAGTTTAGGGGTTTGCTTCTCTCCATCAAGCAGATCAAGAATCAGCTTCAAAGAAGCTGATGAAAGAAGTCCAGACTACATGAAAATTCAAACCCAAACCCAACCTTCATCAAAGGCAGTTTTCTCATTCTTCTGTCTCCTTCCATTTTGTGCAGCATCCTTCTCCCTGCTTTGGCTTTCCTTTTCTTTTTCCCTTCCTGTCTCCCTAAGGAATCTTCTTTTCCAGCTGTAGTGCAACAGTGTTATATTTGATTTCTTCCTTACTTTCCGAAGAGGAGCTGCTAAACAGCATGCTCACAAATACATCAGCAAATACTAACTTGAGAGGTATTACAGGCGTCAGCATGAGACGGACAAACCTGGAGAAATCAAGAAAAAGATTAGGTAAGATCTTAAGAAATGGATTTTGGAAAAACCAATCAAACTCACTGCTGTTCCTTAGGGCAGAGAAACCTGCAAAGCACAGCATGTACCCATGGCTTGTATCGGCCTGACCCTGTCAGTTTTAACCCTGACTTCACTCATTCGCTCTCCTTTGTACTCATTCACAGAAGAGAAACTGTTTTACACTCTATAACTGAGCAGTTCCTATTCAAATCAAACAATTAAGGACACGAGACTCTATTGTGATACACTAGAATAACTATTAATGATAGTGTGGCAATACAGCATCATTGCAAAATCTGATGTATTCTAAATGAATCAGCTCCGTGTTGAGCACTTGGTTATACTTGGACCATGATGTTGAAAACTGGGCACTTCATTAATGAAAACACTGACAAAGAGATTTCAAGTTAAAAAAGGTACTCTGAGTAAGAAGGGAACATGCTCTCTTAATGCACTTCAGCATGCCATGAGCATGAGGGAGTGCATCAGCTGTGCAGAGGGTAACAATTCACCTTCATGACCATTTTAGGGATTTCTGATCAGGAATGCAACCTGAACACTTTGAAATCCCTTAAAAAATATCAACCAGACAAAACAATTCTAAAAGAAAAATGAAGTGAATTGAAATGTCTGGGGCGACCACCTTTTAGTTTATGCAACCCTGTACTCTAACATTATGCGAACTTAAAGCGAAACCAGAGTGATTTAGAAATTAACACGTTTTACTCTAAAAATATAAAACCCCTGGATGCTTTGAAGCTGCCAGAACTTTTGGGTTTTTTGCTTTTTTGAAAACATTTTCATGGAATTCACATGAATTCAAAAAGTATGCACCCCACAGGAGCTGTCTTTTCAGAGCCAATGGACCCACTGGTGTGTTTTCTGTGACCATCTTTAACGCTCCTGCACTGCAGGTATTAAAGAAGACGCACCCAGAGAAGTGATTGTGACACTTCCCAGTGGCTAGTGCCAGCCTTGTTTTTAAAACACTGTCCCTCATTCTCAGCAATGGGCTCCAGTTTTGGTCCTGGTGCCATGGTTTTGCTTCGGCCAACAAAACACTCCCACCTCAAGTTACATCCATGCGAAAAGGAAGGAGATTGTTTAGGGTGGTTAATAAAGGGCCACAAGCTGTAATAGCGTAACAGAGTAAGATGAGGCAGTTCAAGAGACCTGTGCAGGAGCTTCGTGTATAGCAGACCATACTAGGTTGCTCCCTGAAGAGAACAAGTGATGTTCCCCCTGCTCACGACGTTCAGCCCCATTCCAAGAAAAGGCCCACTACAGGTACAGTAATTGTCCTTGCAATCAGAACACTACAGCAGATGACCTAAAATGGGTCATCCTGGTTTATTCTGATTTCATACACTGCTTGCCTTTGCTTGGAGACATCACTGTGCTCGTGAAATGCATTATGGAGGAAGCGAGCACGCAGCCAGGACCCTTTAAACTGGGAGGAAATTGGTACCAGTGCTCTTTTAAACGATTAAACAAAATCTGGGGAGAGAGCAGAAACTGACAATCAGAAGGAATTGGATCTGCAGCTATTGAATTGCCTATCCATTTCTGGCACATTAGAAATGTGTGATTGGTTTCCTTTACATTAGCTGGGATACAGAAACATTCTCTGCCTTATATAATCTCGGCCAGAGAAGCAAAACTGTACCCATCAGATTCCTTGGTTGTAAAAATGGTGTCCTCACCATTTGTGACAACAGTAAATCATTCTGACTGAAAGCAGGCTTCCATTGTGTCCACTCGAGTGTTACCTTCTGCTGCTTGGGGACAGCTCCGCTCTTGTACTCACAAGAGATTGATTGGTCTGAAAGACAATATGCTGCAAACAGGGCATTCAGATGACATTGCCCTTCCCACTGACTTTCCTAAAGACTCAACATGCCTCCCAAGTCTAAAAGTTGTTTCAGAGAATCATAAGCCATGGCTACAATCTTCCACAAACATGGATGTGTAAAAAATGAATCCTCTGATGGACTTTTGGGGACTAATTTGAGTGTTTTTCACTCATCGCTTTGACCTTTGCCTGGGACACGGCATTTTTAGGGGTGTTTCTCCAAATACTGGCTACTGCCATGAAGCTGTTTCACCCAACATGGGAAGACATCCACCTCTGTAGTTAGACGCATGGCCACTCTCTAGCAGTGCACGTCAGTCCGGTGACAAAGTGACCAGCTTATCTGGTAGGTGATCAAGACTACACTGGAGTGTAGTCACAACAAACAGCAGCACACCTGATGAAAATAACCATACTGTGTAAACTTAACCTCAGAGGTAGAGACATGTTAGTAACTGACATGGACAGATTTATCTTCTCAAAATGTGCTGAATTTAGATGATTAACAACACTTATTCCCTGGTTCCATAGATCAAACAGCTCTTTTGGTGCTTACTGAAGCCTGGCTCCATCATTTTCCTTTCTATTTTCCCATGGCTGGTAAGTCAGATAAAGGACTGGGATTCTACTTCATGGTCCTGCTCTCACTTTCAGAAGCCTGTCTACCCCAGATACTGATTCCCAGAAATGTTTATCTTCTGTTGTCTAGATGCATGGTCATCTGTGGGGTTTCACTCCATTTGTGTCCTACTTGTGCCCATTGTTTATTAGACATGCTTTGCTCCATTACTGACCTCAATTATTTGGAACAGACCTTATTTCTAAGGGCAATACAGCTGCATTACTGTGAGTGAGGAGCTTCCTATCAGAGAACCACAGAATGGCTTGGGTTGGAAGGGTCTTTAAAGATCATTCAGTTCCAGCCCTCTGCCATTGGCAGGGGCACCTTCCACTAGAGCAGGTTGCTCCAAGCCCGGTCCACAACCTGTTCCAGCATCTAAGCACCCTCGCAGGGAAGAACATCCTAAGAAAAAAGGATGGTTTAGCACTCGTATGTGATACTAAAGGCACTGTTCAGTGCATAAGCTAGAACTAGTCACAGACTGCTCTTAGGAATTAGTTTTGTGTGTAAATTAGATTAAGCTGGTTTTCATTTTGTAACAACTTTATAGCAAGCAATGGGAACTAAAAATACATTTTAAACATCACTAAGCTGAAAAGTTTCCTTTTAACATTTCATACTGGATTTATTTTATTACCCTATGGAAGAAGTTGGAGAAAAATGGTTCAATTTAGTGTCTTTAATAAAGATATTTACAATTATATTTGTCATAGGTAGGTAATTATTTTAACACTTTTTACGTTTGCCCTGCCGACAAATGGAAGTGTATTACACAGAACAGATTGTTCATCTACCTGAAAGATAGATGTGATTCCTGGTAAGGTATTGGTTGTGCCAAGACACAGCTGAGTTGATTTCCTCCGCTGAGCCATGTCAGTTGATGCCAGTAGAGGCTCTAACACATTCGTAGGGAGCTGCAGAAATGCAGAAGAGTTCAAGAGAAGAAATCAGTTTCCAGGAGCACCCGGTGACCGTATCACTCCTTACATCACTCCTTATCACACTGCTGGGGGTGCCTGCTGGAAAACGGCATCTGCAAAGGGTGAAAACAGGCTGTAAGAAATACACTGTGACTTAACAGTGCTGAGCCCCTGTGGGTGATTCCATGGAGCTGTGGGGCTTTTGTGAGGCTCTGTGAGATCCCACAGCTACCTGATTCCCTGTGACCGTGCAATCAGCCAGGAGAATGTTTCAGTTTACCAGTTCCCTACCTTCATTCAGTCTAAATACTTACTGCAGACTAATTGGCCATCTATTGTCTGAGAGAGACTGGATGAGAAGCATTTGGCTGAGATTGTGCAAGTTCAAAATGATGATTACAGGATTGGAGAAGCAACACTAGCAATTAAGCAAGCAGTAGAGCGGAGGAAGTGCTTCCCATTGACTGTGCAGGCGTTGGCCTGGGATGCTGCTCTCCAGGGATGCAGGTGTTGGGTGCTCCTCAATGTGTAATTGGTGGGTTGCCAAAAAAATCTGTGGCTGCCCCATCCCTGGCAGTGTTCAAAGCCAGGTAGGACAGGGCTTGGAGCAACCTGCTCTAGTGGACGGTTCCCCTGCCCATCCTAGGGGGTTGGAACTAGATCAGCTTTAAGGTCCCTTCAACCCAAACCAGTCTGGGATTCTATGAAAGGTGAGTGGATAACCTGGGCCAGTGAACATTTGCATGCTTTCAACTCCCTCAGGGAGTTCTAACTTCAAGTAGCATCAGTAAGGGAACTTCTGGGATACTTCTAACATCAGGCAGCATCAGTAAGGTTGCTGTAAAGCAGTTCTCCCTTATCTAGTCCCAAACTCCCCTTCCTGAAATAGCTTCTCATGCAGCACAGACCTGCTCATGAGAAGCTGCTCTCTGGGAGACCTGTGCACCAAGCCCTGTGCTGGCTGCCAGAAGATTTCTTGGTAAATCAGATTTCTTCTAGAGCTGGTGCCTTCCAAAGGGCTGAGGAAATACCTCCTGGAGCAGCCTCTGTCTGCGCATGGGTCTGGGTGCATGCTCTCGGGATGAATCAGTAGGAAATCACAGCAGAACAGTTTTGGATGTCCCTCTTTCCCCCTCTGCGGTCTGAAGGCATGGAAGTCTGGTTGACTGAAGCTGAAAAACTGGCAAAGTCATAACTTTTCTATTCTGTCCTGATCCGAAAACGTGTTTTACGGGATAGTCGGGTAAGCTTTGTGCAGTGTGGGGTTTGCATTTACTTTCCCCCTCCATCACGTCAGGTCGAACAGAAACACAAACCCCACAACAAGGTCTCCTCGTGGTTCACGCTGCTGCGTGCTGCCTTTTGTTGTGATTTGTAGCATAAACACACACAAAATACAGGCTAGGAAAGGCAACTGTGTTCTATCTGACAGGCTCCACACCATTTGACAATGTGAGGCTGGAAACCCCTGCACGGAATGGTGGGGGGGGGGTTTGCCACTGACATTAGTGGGAGCACGATGTCAGCCGGTTTTCAGGCAGTACTTATGCTTTAGATCTCGTCCTCTAGTCCTTCTGCCTTTCAAATGAGTGCTGAAGAGTCTTTAAACCACTTAAACATCCGCCCCCTCCTGAATTTCAGACCCAGATACGGTAAGCTGAGCTCAGAAATGCCATATCCTTCCTCTCCGCGCTGGCTGTTTCCATACTCACGGACTCGGTACCGCCGGAGGATGCGACCGAAGTTTCCTTTGTACGTACAGGGCGGCCAGGACGGGACGGGACGGGAGGGTGCCGAGCCCGGCATCAACCCTCCTCCCGCTGCCCCGGCGGGGCAGGAGCTGCGCACAGCGCGCAGGGCACCCGCGGAGCGCTCCTGCTCCGTGCGGCTGCGGGCAGCGGGCTCAGCGCGGCCCCGCCGCCCGCGCGCACAGAGCTCGGGGCCGCTCCCCGCCTCCGGCCGGCCCCGCTCTCCCTGCGCGGCCCGGGGAAGGCGGCTCCCGCCGGGCCCAGCGCGGCGGCGGATGGCGGGGGGGCCGCGCCCGGCGGGGGCCGGCGGGGGCGCCCGCTGAGCAGCGGCGGCGGCGGCGGCGGTGCCGATGCCGGGGGGCCCTGCGCGGCGGGGCGCGCCCGCGGGGCCATGAGGGCGGTGTCCGGCCATGGCCCATGGCAGCGCGGCGGTCATGCTCAAGTGCGTGGTGGTGGGGGACGGCGCCGTGGGCAAGACGTGCCTGCTGATGAGCTACGCCAACGACGCCTTCCCCGAGGAGTACGTGCCCACCGTCTTCGACCACTACGCAGGTGAAGCGGCTGGGGGGGCCGGCGGCTCTGCCGCCCTCTCTCCTTTCCTCCGTCTCCGGCCTTCCCCTGCCGGGAGGCGATGATGGGGGGGGCTCGGCCGGGGTTTGCCCCCCTCACCCGCTGTGTTTCTCCCCCCTCGCAGTCAGCGTTACCGTCGGGGGCAAGCAGTACCTGCTGGGGCTGTACGACACCGCCGGCCAGGTGAGTGCCGAGCGCTGCCGCGGACCCCCGGCCCCGCCGCCATCCCCCGCTGAAGTTACTGGCAGGGCTGCGGTCCGGGCTGGGTGATTCAGGCGGAGGTGCCCGGTGTGTGTGTGTGATGTTGGCGATTGATGCAAACCGGGTTTAGAACGAACCCATCGATCCAGCCCGTTGTTAGCGGTGGGTGCTCGGCTCCAGGCGGGGGGGGGGGGCTGCGGCCAGGGCAGCGCCCGGCCCGGGACCGCCATCATCCCCCGGCCTCGGTGCCGGCGTTGGGAGGAGGGAGCTGAGCCTCCGTTAGCGCGGAGGGAACTTGCTGCTCCAACGCGTCAGGCCGGGCAGAGCCCCGAGTGCTGCTGCTCGCCTTGCGGGCACTTCCCAGCTCTTCAATGGCCGGAGAGAGTTGTTCAGCTTAGGAGGCAGAAAATCATAACATGTAATTGTCAGCCACCGCCGTTGGGGTAACCCGGGTTTCTTTTGGTGTGCCAGACAGTGGGAGTGATTCAGGTTGAGATTATTACAGCCTGTTTTGAAAGATGCTATGTCTGCATGTATCGTAAGTAACTTCAGTGACTGATAAACTGCTTGGTGTTCGGGGGGGTCGCTGGTGTAGTGGTTTCTAAAGGTTGCCTCGTTGGAAACGAAGTAGTTTGTGCCTGGGAGGTGCAGGGCTCGGGCAGAAACACTGCATGGGTTTGGGTAAAGTTGTGTATCCCTTGTGTTTAAACTTCTCCTTGCAGCGTGAGCATGTGTTCTGCTCTCACATGACCTCCAGAGGCGCTTCCTTCTTGTATAGAGCCGCTGGTAACGTGATGGCACCGGACTCGCGTAGGCTGGAGCCATTTCTTTAAACCATGTTACTCCTGTGCTTAATTAAACAGCTGCTGCCTAAGTGAGTGAGGCTTTTTAGGTCTGTAAACAGCCTGGAGTAAGGGAAGAAACGTTTAACCAGCCCTTGATATCTTGGTTAGGCCTGGAATCAGCAATAAAGTTAATTCCATGAGAATTACAGCAAACAGCCCGATTTCCAGGCTGAGACTTCCCAAACACTCTGGCTTCGTGGTTGTCATCTCCCTAACATAAACACAAACTGGTCAAAGTTATGCCAAGTGCATTTCTTACTGTTGTCATAGCCCTGTTTGTCAGTAGTAACTGCTTCAAAACACAGCGTGTCAAACACTGCTTAAGTAGGTTACAGAATGAGGACCGAGTGCCCAGGCATAGAAAGTATTTGGTTAATATGCAACTCTTTTAATCTCTTTTTTCATATAGAGAACATGTGAAAGCCACCCCAGCACTACTGCACACGTGCATGGCTTGGTGGTGGGTGCCGTCTCAAACTGCCTGTGCTGGCTTGTTGGTGTTAATGGGAGCGCGTGTTGTTAGCGCTGTGTAACTGTAACTCAGGTGGTTTTGTGGTATCCCCCCTTTTCCTGAGTGTGCTGAGTACAAAACCGGGTGACTTTTGGCCTCCTCAAAAGGCAGCAGGTTGAACTGGCCCGTTTAAAACAAACAGCAAGTGAAGGTATTCCTGCCTGTTATGCTAAGAAAGTCTTTTCAGTGTGAAATTGTATATCCAGATGTGTAAAATGTTGGGCTAAGCTTTTTCTTCCCTTTTTTCTTCTTTCTTTCTTTCCCCAAATTCCGAGAAGCTGGAATCTTTAAGTTTGAATCACAGAGCAGTTCCTGATGTGCCCAGGACCAGATCCTGCTGGCCTAATTCCGAGGAGCCTCAGCTCATGTTGGGTGTTTTAATGAGGCTACCGGTACAAATATACCTGCCCTTGGCAAAGCTCCTGTTTCAGTCAGACCCGTGGTACTGATAAAATCTCTACCATTATCCCCATCCCACTCCAGCATGTTCGGGGGACTGGGGGACATCTGCCCATGGGAGCCCCATCCCAACATCCAGCACAACCAAGGCGGGAGTCTGTGTGAAGGTGCCAGTCCAGCAATTGCATTCAGCTAAAAGCTGCTTTGTCAGGGAGCGTGCTGACAAGCCGGGCTTCCCGGAGCTGTGTCATAACAGAAAGCTCTCTTTAAAGCTTCAGTACGTGTAGTAAAGAGCAGAAAAGACATGAGTGGATGATGCCTTCTCTGTGTCGAGGAAACTGTGCTGCATTTGGTGCATGCCTGCTGCTTGCACAGACTTCTGTATGGCTCGGATTCAGAGTCGGGATTTCTGTGCCAGCACACATCAGTGCTTTCATCTCTAATTCTGTTCCCCCCCCAAATAGTTGTACTGTAAAATACTGGCCTGATAGTATCATTTTATCACAACTTGGCAGCGTGTGAGCACTGTGGTATCTAAGCAGTTCACAGTCTTGAGTGTGTTTATACTCCCAAAGCATAGGTACAATCTACAGATCTCATTTCGGGGGGAGAGGAGTTAGAGGGTAAATGGAGGGTAAGCAGTGACCTACTCCAAATCCATGCGGGAAGCCCATAGCAGAACAAGGATTAAAGACCTGTTGGTTTATACTGGTATAGAGCAGGCTCACTGCCCTGAAACACTGACTTCATCAGCCTGTGGGTCTCTGTAACGTGCGTGGTTATGTGTTTAGCAACTTGTGACAGACTTCTGTTTGGCAGAGGAGTTGCGAGCTTTCGGGTTCATAGCATCCAGTACTCATTTCTAGCTCGCTTCTTCACAACACACACAGCATCACATGTAGCAGCTGATGACATAATGCATCATATCCTTGTGAGTTTAAAGTAGGTTGAGAATAAATCTATAAAGTCCCATTCCCCCCCCACCCCAGGTTATATATAGCAGGAAGAATGCCACTAGCAGGCCACAAACTTCAGTTTCTATGCAGACAGACCTTCCCCTTTGGGGGTGTGTGTGTGTGTGAGCTCAGGCAGGCTTCCCCTGGTTGGAAGTACTGTGGCCCTGGTTCAAACAGCCGGTACAGCTGCTGGGCAGGGGAGGCACCTGGGGCCCATTTGGGTGTGCAGCTGTGGAAGCAGCTCCTGTGCCTGGGAGATGGGTGGGAATCCAGTGCCTGTGGTGTCCAAGAGGACATTCCTCCAGCAATTCCTCCCAGAGGTGGAGCCAGCAGCTCCTTCTGGCCTTGCTGCTGCACAGAGCCTTGGGCTGAGACTGGCTGGGCTTGGAGTGCACCGTGGTTCTTATGTACATCACCTGGAGCTGGGAGCATCAATGCGCTGCAGGTTGAATGCCAGGTGGTTGTGATACTGGTGCTTGGATGCCTTTGGTTTCACAGTAGCCTCTTGCTCTCGGAGACCTAACTGTGTGTCACTGCTGCTCTTCGTTGGTCAGCCTGGGAAGAGACTGGTGCCTTCATCGGGGTCTGTTAACTGCACTGTGTTAGAGGGCTTTTGAGCTGGTGACAAGTGATGATCATTCTGATCTTCTGTAACACCCAAAGTAATGCTGCCAGCTCTCCCAATGGAGCAGTGTCTGTAAGCACTAACGAAGAGGTGTGCTGCATGTCCCCTTGCCACGTCCCAAATGATAGGGGTAAGTGGGAGGGCCCACAGGAGTTACCTCTTGGGGATTTCACTCTGTACTGAAGGCTGCTGCTTAAAATGTCAGTTGGAGTCCTTCCTCCTCTCACTCTGCGGGGCTTCATGGATGATATCCCTTTTCTCCCATGAGTGCTGACCACGTACACGTGGAAGCCTTGCTCTGCTCCGTGTCTTTGCTGTGAAGAACTGTCAGGTAGGATGCAGGGGATGCAGGAGCAGAGCCTGTGCTGCTCCAGCTGCCCTGGGAAGAGAGATGCTGAGGCATAGCGTGGCTGTTTGGTGCAGGTTTGGCATCAAGCCAGTGTCTGAGTAGTGCAGAGCAGGGTACAGAAGGAGCAGAGTGAATCTTGCTGTGGTGCAGTGCCTCATAATAACATTGTTATCCATCAGCATCACTCACTGTTGTGATACTGGCCTGGCCTGGTTGGACAATGCTGAGGTAAACTGCGTTCCTTGGCTTTCCACTTCTATTTCTCTGCCTTAAACACCTTGATATGAGCAGGACAAGCTGTAGGTCTGGTACAATAAAGCTCGCAGTGCCTTCTCAACCGTCACCAAAACAGTAGCCATAGAACACGCTAAGCACAAGAGCAGAACAAGGCTCTTGGCTCCTCTCAGCTCACATACCAATGGCTACTGTGGTTGCAGCAGCAGCAATTTAACTCAGATACGCTGATGTTTTGGTTGCAGTGGAGGCCCTGGTGTTGGAAGCAGTTTTA